CGGGGAATAGCCGCAGCGCAGTGCGCTCCGGCCACGCCCCCAATCCGCCCCCTGTGGGCCCTGCGGGCAGGGAATAGCCACAGCGCAGTGCACAGCAGCATTCCTGGGGGCTCCCCCCGCCCTGGCGGCCCAGCTGGGGGGAGCAGAGCCCCCCCGCAGAGTCCACCCCTCCCCTGCAGGTTGCCCGTCTGAGCCTGCCCTGTGGCCCGTAGGTGCTGGTGAACGAAGTACACCGGTGGGTGCTGCTCCAGTACGTCCGGCCCCTGCTGCAGGTCCGGCTCGTCTGCAGCTCGAACAAGATGAGAGGCAAAGTGGCGGCCCGGCTGGAGGACGAAGGCCGCCAGCTGCAGGAGCTCTTTGGCCAGCTGGTGAGCCGGGGCGAGGCTGGGAGGGTCTGGGGGGGGCCCGCTGCACAGTGGGGCAGGGCGGGCTGCCCTGTGAGGACCCCCCCACCCCCGGGGCTGAATCTCCAGTATTGCTCAGCTGGGGCGGTGGATTGGGAGAGGGGAGGGGGTCTGAGCTGCAGGCTGCCCAGAGGGGGGTTCCTGGTGGAGGGCAGAGCCTGGCAGTGCCAGCCGGCCCAGCTTGGGGTAAAACGGTGAGGGTGGAGCCGGGATGCCCAGCACGTCCTGTTGCCCTGTGTCAGGACTGTGCCGGGATCGGGGCACCGGACGCTGCGCAGACACCGAGCCCTGCCCGCTGGACTTCCCTGTGTGAACAGACGCGGGGTGGAAGAGGAAACTGAGGCATGGCGCAGGGCAGTGATGGGGCTTGGTTCCCCCAGCGGGGGGGTGACGGAGCCGGGACGAGCACCAGCCTCCAGCCCTGCCTGCTGGGCCGTGCCGCCCTGGGTGTTGGGCAGCCGCTTGACTGAGCCCCATTGCTGGGGTTCTCCTGGGGGACCGGGGGGGAGAAGGGGGGGGCTGAGCTCCAGCTGGCTTGTCCCCTCAGTCTCGCTGCTGGCGCCAGCCCCTGAGTGGCATGGTTGGGAGTGTGTGAGGGGGGTCTCCTTAGCCCCTGCCCTGTCCTGACTGCCCCCTGCCCACAGAACTCGACCTCATCCTGGCTGAATGAAGTGGTGCCTCACCTGGCCGAGATCCTGCGGCTGGAGGACACGCCTTCCATCCAGATGGAGGTGGGGATGCTGGTGCGGGACTTCCCTGACGTCCGGTGAGTGGGGGCCACCATGGGACCTGTGCACAGCCCCTAACCTATACCTCCCCCGGCAGGGTCTCTCAAATCCTCTCTCCGGGGTACCCCACCCCCAGTGTCGCTCCATCATCGGCCCACGGGGGGCTGGTGGGTGGAAACGGGTCCATCCTTTGAAGTGTCAGTGAGGGGGCCAGCACTTTGGTGCCCCCGCTGGACTCCTGCTGCCAGGACACTGGGGGCCGTGCTGCTGTCTGGCCCCCCCACCTTGGCAGGGTTGCGGTGGGTGGTCGGATGGGAGATCTGCGCTCTCGAGGCTGTTAAAGGTCTCGGCTGCACTTCAGCTCAGCTAATGAATCCCCCTCCATTCCTGCCCTCCCCCTGGGGCGTGTTATACAGCTGCCGGGGCTGCAGTGCTGGGGGGGATCCTTCTGGGGTTACAGCTGCGCTGCCCTCGCCGCTCCCCCTCTCGCTCCTTGTGCCCCGGCTGAGTGTCACAGAGCCAGGCGAGCTGAGGGCCAGGCGGAGCCCTGAGCTCTGTGGCTGCCGTGCGCTTGTCACGGGGGAGGGAGGGCTCCGGGCTGGTTTGAGCTGTGGCAGCCGCGTGGCCCCAGGCAAGGCCCCAGGGGAGTAAGATGAGTACTGCCACTGGAGAGGGACTCTGGGGGTGCTGGGGAGGGGCCACCCATCACTTGAATGCACTTTGCCCTGGGGCAGGACTGGTGGCTCCCAGCTCCCCTGGGTCCTCATGAACTCCGAGCCCCCGCGCTGGGACCTCTCCTGTAGCGGGAGCTGGGTCATGCTCTGCCGGACAGCAGGTGGGTTCAGAGCAGCATGCGACTCCTGTATCTGGTGCTCTTAGGGACAGTGAGCTCCCATAATGCACCTAGCCAGGGGTGTGATGCAGGTCCACGGTTCTTCCCCCTCCCGCGGTGGGGGTTGGCTCCTGGCCCTGAAATCAGGCAGATCTGGGGAAGGCCGGGCCCAGCGTGTGACCGCACGCCTCCTGTGGCAGAGAGTTCCACAGGTCACCCCAGCTGAGCCAGAAGATTGACAGGGACAGATGGCTCCAGGGCGGACACGGGCGTGAACTCGCCGTTGTGACCAGCTGGGAAAAGGGCAAATGGTTTTGCCACCACAGCCGGGGCCTCTGCTTGAGAAAGGGGCAAATGTTCCACATGGCCCCCCAGGGAGATGCCCTCTGGGGCGACCCCCCCCCCCCGGCTGCTTCCCACACGCCAGCGGAGCTGACTGCCGCAGCCCCCTGCAGGGATCTCCGGCTGCTTGGCCCCACAGGGGTCGGATTCTGGCCCTGGCGGCTGTTGGGTTTGACCCTGACGCACACACCCTCTCCAGCAGGGGGCAGCAGTGACACACACTGGCAGCACGGCGGGTGCAGGTGGTGCTGACGTGCCAAGGCCCTGCTCAGCCAGCCCTCCCCCTGGCACCAGGCTCAGGCAGGCCCGGCCTTTGGCAATCTGCTTCCCAGGGGCCCCAGCTGGCCTCCCTGCCGTGCTCCAGGGACTCTGCCCGCTGCTCCCACCATGTAGGGAAGGCTAGGGGATGCCCCATGTGGCACACGCTGGTGCCAAGGAGCAGGGCACCGGTGAATTGGCCTTGGTGTGCTCCGAGGCCCGAGAGGAGCAGGCCTGATGGGGTGGGGACAAGTCCCTGCCTGGCACAGAGGAGCAGCATGGACCTGCACAGGCCCCAGCGTGCCGGGTGCCACATGGGTGCGAAACCAGGGACAGTCCCAGCCGCAGAGCGCTCGCCGGCCGGGAGCCAGGTCTTGATCCGGAGCAGCGGCACCCGCAGCACGTCCTTGCCAGCTCACCGGCTGATCCCAGCTGCTGCCAGAACGCGGCCCCCACCCAGCGCGCGGCGGTGTGGCCAGAATTAGGAGGCCGATCTAGGCGTGGGACACCTCCCCTTGCTCCACGCTTCCAGCAGCGCTTTCCTGGAACCCGGAGTCACAACCCGCTTCCCAGGACCAGGGGAGATAAAAATGCCCCCGTCCGCGGCATTGCCCGGCGCTGGGCTCTGCCGCGGCCGCCTGCGTCACTCTTGGGGCGAAGGGGGGTTATCGCGCTCCTGGCACGGCTCCTCTTTCCATCTTCCGCTGATTGCATCCGGGCACAGGGCTGGGAGGCGACAGATCGCCTGCGAAGCGTGGCTGCGAGCCGTTTCCTGCAGCCGGCCAGGGCGGGGCGGCGAGCAGGGGTGGCTGAAGACGGGGCTGGAGGAGAAAAACAAGCGGCTGGGCTCAGACAGGAAGGGGCCCGGGAGTGACTTCCCCTGGCTGCCATCGTGGGGCAGTTCGCGGTTGTGGAGACCCATGGAAAGGGGCCAGGGGTGGAGGGCTGCTCCGGAAGAGACCTTCAGTGTGTGTGTATGTGGGGGGGGCAGACATGTATAACCCCCCACCCCCATGCAACCCACCCTGCCCTCCACCCCATCCCCTCCCAGCACCACACAACCCCCACCACCCGCTGGCCTGGCATTGCCAGGGGCTGGACTGCGCTGCCCTGGGAATGCATCTGGGACACCTGCCTCTGGAGAGATCCCCCTAAGCCAGCCCCCTGCCAGCCGGCTGCGTCTTCCCAGCAGTGGGATTCACAGGTCGCGGCCCCCCGGGGCTCAGCACCGTGGCGGAAGCCCCCCCAGGAAAGAAGTGTTGAGCTGGCGGCTGTGCCGGGCTCTGGACAGGCGCTGGCTCACGGCAGGGCCCCGGAGCAGTTGTGGGAGCCAGAGCTGACCCCAGCGGGGCTGTCCCCCAGAACCAGCTCCGGGCCGGGCACCAGCAGGCGCACCAAGCTGCCTCT